CCACCCACCCACCCATCCATCCATGGATACGTGTGCTGCTTCCACTTCTTGGCTACTGCAAATAATGCTGCTACAAAAAGGCATGTGAATATCTTTGGGATACCCTGCTTTTGATTCTTTTGGACATATACTCAGAATGGGATTGCTGGATCACAGGGGAGTTGTAGTTTTAGTTGTTGAGGAAAAGCATTCAGTGTTCCAAGGAGCCATAATACCTCTGGATCCCACCGACCATGCCCGGAGCCATTTCTCTACACCCTTGCCAACTCAGGATACATGCTGGGGGCATTCACAGGGGCCATTCTAGTGCATGGGAGGCAATAACTCTTTTTTTTTCTTTTTTTGGTACCAGGGATCGAACTTGGGTCCTTGCACTTGCGCAGTAGGTGGCGAAACCACTGAGCTAAATACCTGGCCCATGGAGGCAATAACTCTTCGTGGCTTTCATTTGCACCTCCCTGATGACTAATGATGCCGATCATCTTTTTCTATTCTTGGTCGTTTGTATGACATCTTTGGAGGAACATCTAGTCAAATCCTTTGCCCATTTTCAAATTACTTATTTTTTGTTGAATTGTACAAATTTTGTGTATACTGTTGACTGTGTCCTTTGATGTACATACTGTACCATCCCACTGGGAGGTGAGGTCCCTGACACATGAATGTGAGGACCGGGGCCCGATTCAGTCCATAGCAGCTGTGCTTTGGAGAACAAACCACGCACTTCTGACCACAGTACCCACATCCCTTCATGGCCCCGAACCACACACAACCCCAGGGGGAAATAGATAAGCTAAGTACACTCTGCGACAAGAAAGGATGTAATGAAGAATGCATCACCTGAGTAATCCACTCTTAATTATAGGGTATATCAATTCTGAATTCTAATAGATATTGACCAGCATCCTCCAGAGAAGCGAAACCACTTTCCACTCCTGCTGACAGCATGTCAGAACAGCCTGTTCACTCAGGCTCCCAGGACAGGACTGAGAAATCTTTTTTCAAACCATACAGCAGGGAAGACCTTGTAATGGCCTCAGAATGGTGAGGTGAAATCTTGAATGTCACACAGCCCCTCAGCCAGAGACGGAGGATTCCAACAGGACCCCAAGATTCCCTGTGTATTCCTCCCCTAGTGTCCCCTTGCTGGAGTGGAAACCACAGCAGGGCTCTGTTTGTTAATGACATCCTACTAGTCTGACCCTCAAGTTCTCCTTCTGCTTGCATCTGGGGAGCGACCGCATTTCCTACCTTACCTAGCCACCTCAAAACACCCTACCATGGGAAGAACCAATATAGTGAAAATGGCCATACTTCCAAAACTATTGTATAGGTTTAATGCAAAGCAGATTGAAATTCCAACAATATAGTTTACGGAACTAGAGAAAACAATCCAAAAATTCATTTGGAACCAGAGGAGACCTACAATAGCAAAAGAAATTGTAGACAACAGAGACCTGGCAGGGGGTATCACAATCCCCAACTTGAAACTATACTACAAAGCTACTGTGAAAAAAACAGCATGGTACTGGCAAAGAAACAGACCCGCAGATCAGTGGAATAGATTAGAAGATGCAGAAACAACTACAGATATGCTCAGCCACCTCATCTTTGACAAGGGAGCCAACCACCTTCATTGGAGGAAAGATAGCCTATTTAATAAATGGTTTTGGAAAAACTGGATTTCAACCTGCCAGAGATTAAAACTAGACCCATACCTATCACCATGCACTAAACTAAGATCAAAGTGGATTGAAGATCTAAATATTAAGACAGAAACACTAAATTTGCTGGAAGATAAGTTAGGTAGAACTCTTGAAGACATTGGCATAGGAAAAGACTTTATGAACAAAACCTCAGTAGCACAGGAACTTGCACAAAGAATCAACAACTGGGATCTCATCTTATTAAAAAGCTTCTGCACTGCAAGAGAAACCATCAACAGAGCTAAGAGACAACCTACAATGTGGGAAAAAATTTTCGGCAACTGTACCTCAGACAAAGGACTACTATCTAGAATATATAAAGAACTGAAAAAAATCAGATCCCCAAATTCAAAGACCCAATTCAAAAATGGGCATCTGAAATGAACAGACATTTCTCAGACAAAGAAGTAAAAGCAGCAAATAAACATATGAAAAAATGTTCAACATCACTGGTCTTTCGAGAGATGCAGATGAAAACAACACTGAAATTCCACCTCACCCCGGAAAGAGTGGCTGCTATCAAGAAATCAACCAATAACAAATGCTGGTGGGGGTGTGGGGAGAAAGGAACCCTTCTCCACTGCTGGTGGGAGTGCAGACTGGTGCAACCACTGTGGAAATCAGTATGGAGATAGCTCAAAGAACTAGGACTGGAAGTCCCATTTGACCCAGCTATTCCCCTGCTGGGTATCTTCCCAAAAGAATTAAAAGAACCAGACCACAGCGATATATGTGCACCCATGTTCATAGCAGCACAGTTTGTAATAGCGAAAGCTTGGAAGCAGCCCAAGTGCCCATCAACTGGAGACTGGATAAAGAAGATGTGGTTTTTTTTATAAAATGGAGTACTACTCAGCCATAAAGAACCAGAAACTAGATACATTTATAGCTAAATGGATGCATATTGAGGCCATCCTCTTAAGTGAAATAAATAGGACACGTGTAAATATCAAATAGTTTCTCTAGTGTGAGAAACTGAAATTGTAATTTAGGATACACACGGATGAAATGGCCCAATAACATATTTCTTCGATTGTGTTTCCATTGTGTGTCATATGACTGTACTGAAATTTAAATTAGGGAGAAGCTTGGCTTATGTGGAGTCTGCTAACTAACTGGATTTTTTTTACAGACCTCTATTTGTTCAGTGTTGGTTTTGGGGATCTTTCTGAAACAAGTCACATCCTCTGGTGCCTTGTTGGTGCTTGAGATGTTTTTTTAAGTCATATGGAAAAATGTTTAAGTGCTTTTCAGTTTTTGTTTTGGTTGAGTTCTAGTGTATTTGAATATTACTGTAGTTTTTTTTCCCTGCATTGTTCTTCTTTGAATGGTTTTAATTTCTGTATGTGTGTGTGTTTGACAATAAAGTTATTTTTAAATTTATAAAAACACCCTACCACATAAATGGCTATCATGTTGTCAAAAAGAATTAACTTTGGCTTCTTATTTAATTGGGTTGCCATGTCCGGGACATTACCTTTCTTTCCTGTCCCTCTGCAGGTGGCCAACTTTGTTTGGTTGTGGACAGTTAAACTTCACTGTGTCATCTGGATTAAGAAATGCTCAGGGGATTAGAAAGCACATTTCTGGGTGTGTCTAGGCAGGTCATGGAGGCGTGGCCTTGGGTCCTCACCCCTTCCTCTCGGGCGCTGCTCCCCTGCTCTGCTTCTTCCCCACCATGCAGTGGTCAGAGCAGCTTTGCTGCACCAGGCCCTTCCACCATGATGATCCCATCTTGGAGCCAGCAACCATGGACTGAGTCCCCTGAAACCATGAATCACATTAAAACCCTGCTCCTTGATGTCGTGGGTGTTGTACTGCATCCCAGTGAGGAGAAAGCTGACCAATACACACTGTCTCTGCATCGCCTGCTCTTTCTTCTGTTTCCTTCTCATCTGTTCTCTGTGCTGCCCCGTTTAGTTCCTGACTTTACCCTCC